ACTTTCTCAGATTGAAGTGCTTGCTGGCTTGATCTGGTTGAGTGCGGTTGAAACGCACACCTAACCACACCTCAACGCGTCTCAGGGCGCAGTTGCTTGTGTCGCCTGACCTTGATGTCATTAGTATGTCTGACTCATGCGGGGTTACACCTTCCACCCATTTTAGGCGTGATCGGTTCTTTTTGTAGTGCGTTATATGCATGCTACATTCCTCTACTTGCCGTTTGACCTTTTAGATGATGATGATGAAGATGATGATGACGAGGACGATGAAGATGAGGAAGACCAGGTGGAGGAGGCTCTTGAGAGTGACGAGGACGTCATTGACGAGGAAGGAGCTCGCTACTTGGAGTTACTGGAAGCAGTGGTACGATATTTAGTTATTACTTACACACTGAGCCTATTTTTGGACGGCTGGTACTAGAAGTCGTTTGTTTTTTGAAGCATCTCCCTATGCAACCACAGTTCAACAAGGGGCTTCTGACTCTACTGACTTTACGAAACCCACCCAATCTCATGTTCGTTTGGGCCCTTATGTCTGGTATAACTTTTGACGGGATGAGGTTCTCCAAAGTACGTTAGTATTCTACTCCTGTAGACCAGTGTGGAATTTCAGTTTTCCCATGTCGCCCTTCTAGTTCTCCACTGGTTTCCGAGCAGTTTTGAGTCGATGGTTGATCTTTCGGTGTATCGTTGTTGTCAGCGTTCTTCCTACGGTCGTCACCTGTCTAACTTAATCCCCATTGATGTTCATGGAATGTGCCTCTCCACGCAATGCGACCCGCGGCAGAGAATCCAGAGTGCTCGGCCCTGTTTTCGTTGTTGGAAATTGAGTGCTGAGGTTCAGTACTAAACTCCATGTCTTGGCGGAATCTGTCGCGCCAGGTTTCGTACTGATCGTCTCTTCGACGCTTCAAGGTGAGCAGGCACCGACGCAGGATGAGGGACACCTACACTAAACTCGTGAGACGGCCGATAAAATAGTAGGCCACGATAACAACAGTTCTTCCCTGGGTGCTCCTGGTTGCATTCACCCCAAGCGCTAGCGATGAATTATGTCGAACGCTGCAATGAATTCAACAAAGCAGATGCTCGCCGTAGTCGAAGTAGAGTTTAAGAATTCGCTGCAGTGACAACATTTGGTCAGTGCATCCACATCTCATCACTCTGCGACCGTCTGATAGTCAGAAGGACAACGTTG